TATATATATATATATATATATATATATATATACACACACACACACACACACACACACACACATATACATATACATATACATATACAGGTGCAGAAGAGGAGTACACCAAAATAAGCATTGGTTGAAGCAGTCCTGAACTTTTTACTATATATATATATAGCCTAATAAGTTCCAGCTTTTTCCTGCCCTGATTAGACACCTACAATCTCCAGGCTCCAGTAAGATAAAATAGGGTGAGGCTGTCTGTAAAACCTGATTCAACTAACCTGCAAAACTTTAGGATGGGTACATTTTTTCTGCATGTGAAGGTGCATCCTTTATTTGTTTGGTGCTGACCCGCCATTCCTAAGATCTGTGCCTTGTTTGAATTTGATAATTTTTATTTTTCTCTACCATATGCATGATAGAGCCTTTGGAATTTTTTTTTTTTTCCTGAAACATGCATTCCTTTGAAAACCACACTAACGTTGAGTTAATTGTATCTTGCTGGTATGTAAAAAATACAGTAGATATGACATTTTGGTTAAAATGAGGAAATTTGTATTAAAATGTACTCCCTTTTATAGCATTATTATTTTATTATGTTATTGCATGAGGAGCATGTCATTGAATCTGATGGTTTGAAATACCAAGAATACTTGAGAATTAAATTTGAATACAAAATGTAATGTAAATATGAAAATATCTACCAAATTATTATTAGACATATTTATTATTTAATTTTTAATAGCAATTATTTTAGCAACAATAACTCTCTTAGTCTTTATTCAAACTCTCCCATTTAATTTAAATTTTAGATGTAAGGTATAGAATTAAGTCATATAATAATTTATTTTCAGAGCAATATTGAAGCCTAAAAAACTAATTTAGAAACTAAAGATGCTTAATTTATTTCCAGTTCCAGCAAATGCAACCTTTGGCACAGTGGAAATAAATCCTGTTGAAAACACAGTTTGAGCAAATACTGGCAGAATTTGTATATTTTATGGGGATTCTCAACTTTGGGGCTCATCTTAATTTTGAAAGCTTGGTGGATCACAAAATGATGGACATGACAAGATTTACAAAATAGCAAGCAATGGGAATGGGTCAATCACAAAATGTCCTTTTTTAGAAAAGGCAGGCAGAAGGAAATGAAAGACAAGTAACCTGCCAAAAACATCATTACAAGAATATTTCTAGGCATGTCTTCCAAAGACATTCAGGTTTTTTTGCTCCAGTAAAATACACTCATGTTGTAAGGACAAATTTCAAATTTCTTTTTCTTTTTCTCTGTCAATGAGCCAAGTCATCTCCACTTTACTTTCCTAGGGTACATATTCATAAACCAGATCAGTGTGTCTGTTTGTGTCTATGAGCAAGATTCAGAATGAGATTCAATGGGGGAAGAAAATGAAAACATGCAAGTATTGGGACAAAGAAAAGAAAAACCCTAATCCCAGGTCGAGGTCCCAATTATTCACCTGCTAATCTTCATAATCATAATTTTTTTGTCCACGGCAGAAATTGATAACTTCTTTGATCAATGTATCCATTTTTGGTAGTGGTGGGGGGCTTCCCTCCATTTCTCTGTGCAGCCTACTCTTTCTGCTTCAAATCCATTCGAACGCAAGTGTAGCCGGGTTACTAGGGGGGAGCAACTCATCAAGAATGCTACATAGCCTCTTTCAAATTGCAAATAAAAAATAACTTAGTCATCAGTGACACATTACAGCAGGATTGTCAAACCCGATTGCATCGCAGGCTGTATCGTGATGTTATTTTGCCTTTACGGAGTCAGGTGGGCATGGCCTGCATGGGCCGTATCCCTCCCACAGGCCGCCAATTTGACAGGCCTGCATTACAGGTATGAGAGTAGTTAAGTATATTGAATTCATCACACCAGGCAGCAATGAATTGAATCCTCTAGTTTTGAGCATTTCGAGTTCAAAAATTGGTTCAGAATCAACCAAATATTGTATGTCTCGAATTCAATACAAATTAGATATGCTGAAGGTTGCTACATTTGATTCTTTACAACTCAATGGTGTGTAGGATAACTTTTTGAAAATTGAACAAAATAAGGTTAACTTTGGTATGGTTGGAAAACTTAAGGAAATAAAGTTCAAAAATTGTCCAAATTGACAGAGGTTGAAGAGTGAGGAAAAAAATCTTCCAACACAATATATATGAAGAGCAAACTACAGTGTTGTGGACTCCTCCCTCCAAACCCCTCTTCCTCTCTTCCCCATCTTTTCATTTCTTCTCCTTGTCCTAAAGTGGCATTGTTGTTGTTGTTGTTGTTAGAAACAACTCCAGATGTTGTACATATCATAATTTCTGTAGCTTGTTTGGAAACGTATATTAGAAACAATTGTATTTGGTTTTTTTTAAAGAGAATACTGTATTTCAAGCTTGGCACATGCAGAAAAATTATATATAGGGAAAATGTTAATTTTTAATAATTTTTTAAATTTTTTTAATGGAACTGAAAGATTTAGACTGGGGCATAAATTCCTGTCTGAGAGACTTTAACAATCAGCTCTTTAATGTAAAAGCATTTTTTCATAGAATTCAATGATTGTCTTCAGCTACAGTATGATCCTGGGTAAAGATTTAATTGGTTTAAGGCATTCCCAGCAGGTATTAATAGACACCAGCTCATATGCCAAGGCACCTTTTCCCTTTCAATCTGAAGCACCACTGCACATCCCTTTTAATTAATATAATCCAATTCATAAAAGTGGAAATAGTTGAGGAGTGCTATTATTGAACTGCTGGAGGGTATGAATGCTCATGGGAACTATGATAGTTTATTACAGCAAGAATGAACCATCCTTATTCCTTCCTTCCTATAGGAAAACATTTTGAAACATTCCCTTTAATGGTAGTTTTGTTATCCAGATTAGCAAATGTTAAATGTTTAACATTAATTCTGGTACGTTTTGAACAATCAAGCTTTTTAGAAGTAATTGTAGATGTTATAAATCTTGTAGATAACAGAAAAGGTTGTATTTTGCAAAAATATAAGTGTACAACCTGCAAATTATCTCAGACATATTGGAAGGCAGACTGGAAGAGGAATGTGTGAAACTGAGGCCTGTTATATATTTTAACATAATATAAATTGTCATAATATACAGATACTGTCTACCTCCTAGGCTGATTGTTTTTGCTTCATTATCAAACTTCAGTTGTAAACAGTCCATTTTTTAAATTTGCAATATAAAGTGCAATATTTCACAGAAGCTTTTAATTTCTTTTGGTGTTTTGCCTCAATCCTGATTCTGTTCTGAAATTAGGGAAAGTTAGCACAAAAGAAAAGCTTCTATTTATCTGTATTAGTATTTATAAGCAATCTAATATGCTAGTTTTAGGTTGGTTGCTTTTTATATTTAGGTGCCAAATCTGATTCCAGTTCTGATGTTTAAATTGGGAAGACCACTGGAGGCCACACTCTGCCGGGACATCTTGTATACCTTACCTGCTTTGGGAGTTCATAAGGTCTGCATGAAAGTATAACTTCTCTCTCATATTATTTACATGAAGTACAATTAATTTCAATGCCATGGTTATTTTCCAGAGGATCTTTGATATTTGTAATAATAATGTTGAAAGCTATAACATTGGGACCCAGATAGCTATGTCCAAATCTTATACACAGTTCTGATTATACAAATTTAAAATATTAACTATAATTGTCCTGATTGTTGGCCTAGGAGGATATTTTGGTGCTTTATTTCTATGCTGCCATAGTAATCCTTGGAATATGCAGTTACATGGCTCAAGACAATGATGGCTATATACATTGTAAGTGATTCCTTTTAAGTAGGTACCATGTAAAGTTGCAAAATGCTATTCTAGTGGTATGGAAGAAGATGAAGAACATGTGCTTTATAAATGGATTTTAAAACAGTTATTCACAGGAATCAGTGAATGGGGGAAGAATTCAAACATTGGCAGGTAGGAAATAATGAAGAAGAAAGTGGTAATAGGTTGTCATCTTGTAATTTATCAAGATACAGACAACTGTATGCCGTACCTCCAATTTTTACAACCCCGCTTTCTGCTTTGTCTACTTGTAATACTAAATTGTACAATCAAATTAAAAATTATTTTGTGATTGATGTCTTAAACAAGGAGAGCATATCAGTGGGTCTGGAGATGGTACAAAATTAATCTCTCTGGATTTATTTTACATGATAAATGAATATACAAGAAATTGCATTTATAAAAAAAAAATCTTCTAGGTCTGCGTTGCCCAGATTTTACGTGTGCTGCAGGTGTTAGGAAACACACCGAAACTTCAAGCTGTTACGTTACGTCTGATGACATGTTTATGGGAAAAACAGGTAAAGCTTTGCAAACTGTTAATTTTCAGTTTGACAAAAAATGCTTAACAGTGTCATTCATTGCTGTAGCAAACTCTACTGTTCCAAACTTAAAGAGATGGGAATATAATCCCTTCTTCAAAGCCTCTTTTTATTTAAGTATTTGATAAACATGCTGGGACTTTTGGAGGGGTATATGTAACTGCATACATAATATAAACTCCTACCTGAAAATTAGTTAAAATATTGTGTACAGGGATCAGTACCTTTTTCAGATATCCTCTTTTTTCATCCATTTTAATCCAAATTGGGGGTTTGGAAAAAATGATATAAAAGGGCTTAAGATCATCTCTATCAGTGGGTAGTTTAAAAAAACTGAACAGAATTGATTGCGGGGTAAAATCATATTTGGTCTGTGAAGAAGCTGACAAAAGAAAGATTTTTTTAAAAAGTCCCTGGGATCTGTCTGAGCATCATAGTGAAAACAATTCCAGTAATGTTTCCTCTTTTGATAGGAAAAACACTGGGCAATACAGGCAGTCCTCGACTTACAACAAACATCATTTACTAACCATTCAAAATTATAACAGCATTGAAAAAAGCGACTTATGATTGTTTTTCACACTTACGACCTTTGCAGCAACTGGTATGTATTTATGACAGTTGCTCTGGCCCGAGGTCATGTGATCACCATTTATAACTTTCCCAATGCTTTCTGCCATGAGACCTTATATACACATGTGTTCTCACTCTGTTAAGTGGAAGTAAAACCAGAGGCCTCCTATAGGAACTGCTGGTAAAAAATAAAATAAAAACTTGAAAAAAATTCAGAAGCCCTACTTTATGTCCTTTCCCTGCATTTTAAAAATTGTCCCAAATTTTGTCAAATACTCTGCGTTTTCATTCATTGCATGAAATCTTGTGAGAGCTCTAGTATGATTATCATATCATACAGTTTGGGAATCTTGAAAGACACACACACACACACACACACACACACACACACACACACACACTGGGTGCAGTTATTGCCAGGGCCTCAAATATTAGATGTTTGAAAGATAGATTAATAAATAACAGTAGGGCAATACATTGTCATACGCTAATCTTCTATTTCCTTTTTTCCTATCAAAATATGTTTAGGATCGAGTTTATCCAGAACTTCAGAGATTCATGGCAATGTCTGATATGGCTTCATTATCTGTTAGTAAAGATACTCAGTGGGAGAAGGTGATTGCCAAAGCTGCTTCTATCAGAGATATATGCAAGCAAAGGTAAATGTTAGGTTTTTTATATTAAATTAGCTTATGTTCTTCTTGACTTGGTACTGTATATTGTTTGTTCCTATTAGAATGTTAACTCTTGGTTTTTTTGGCAAGGGTTCAAGGCAAAAGGGTTTTGTACAATATGATCAAAGTTTTTGGAGCTGTTCTATTTATACCATAATTTTCATTCCTTCCTCCAACTCCCCCCCCTTTTTTTTCCTTTAAACTGATGTAAGTTTATCAGTTCTAAAATTGGGCTGATTGCAGTTCTTTAATGCTCTTGTGTGTACTTGCATTTTTTCTTTCGTAGAAAAGAAAAAAAATGAAATAATGTACTTTTATACTTATAATGATGTTAGTAAGGAGTATGGCTTAAGGGCATCATAACAGCCTCAGAACTAGGTGGTATACAAACCTTGAACTCACGAGCCTTAGTATATGTGTTATGATTCTGTATCCTTGCTTCTCCAAACTTTTATTTACTGAGCTTCATGTTCATCTTTTCCGGTTTTCACTTTATCATCTGTCTCTGCTTCAAGAACATTTGGTTTGACCATTGTGTATCTTAAAGGAATACAGTATCATCAACCCATCTGCTTTTTCACAGGATTTCTTCATCTCATTTCCTACTGTCCTAGACCAAATTGTTTTCAATTGATTCAAGCCGTTTCAAGATTTTTAGCATTTGTTTGAAAAATTGGTTAAGATCTAACTAAATCCTTAATGAATCTGTTATGTCTGAGAATTAAGTCAATTTATTTCATGCCTTTTCCACAAGTTGAGCTGTCACTATTACTGAACTTAATACAATAATGATTTATTGAATAAGATTCAATAGTCAAGCTTACATTATGTTAAACCACAGACAAGTGGTTAGTGTCACATATGTTCATTTTTTTAAACTGGATTCTCTAAAGAAACTACACAAATACAGAAGAAAATATGAAAAAAGAATAATGGAATATAATAAAGATGAATAAACTAAGAATTTTAAAATATCATGGAAGATTATAGTTTTCCTAGTTCCAAGCATTTTTATGTTTTCTCTTTGCTAGAGTTGGTGAATTATGCTCTTCTAGCTGTAGTTAAATTTCAGATTCCAGATTCCCCATTCATAATGGTCAGCGCTTGGAATGGTAGATTAATAATATATGGATGGCCACAGATTCCTTTTCAGAGACAGAGTATGCATGCATGTATGTATGTATTTTTATCCCACCTTTATTGTTTTTACAAATAACTCAAGGTGACAAACATCCAACACATCTTCCTCATCCTATTTCCCCCACAACAGCAACCCTGTGAAGTGAGTTAAGCCGAGAGAGAGAATGACTGGCCCAAGATCACCCAATTGGCTTTCATGGCCAAGGTGGAACTCCAGCTTTCTAGCCCGGTGCCTTAAACCACTAGACCAAACTACTACAGATCTTGACATTGCCATGCAATTATGTTCATTTTCTATTGTTCTATAACTACATGAAAACTTTTGTATCTTGTTAGACCTTACCAACATGGGGCAGATATGCTGGCTGCAATTTCTAAGGTACTGAATGAATGCACAAAACCCGATCAAGCCACACCTGCTGCCTTAGTCTTACAAGGACTTCATGCACTTTGTCAAGCTGAGGTACAGTTTACTGAGTTCAGAGGGCTATTTTTCTCCTTTATGTATTGCATGTTTTGTTCATCATTCCTTCTAGTAGTTGTTGTTGGAACAAAATTCCATATTTCATTCCTGTTAAATAAGATTCTATTTTCCTCTTTCACTAATCTTCTAGTAACTGAAAGTTACTGGAGAGTTATAGTCAAATTATATTTCAGTAATTGATGGACTGACTCTGAAAAGTGTTGTTCTTGACATATACATTGCAATTGTGCCTTGAATTTATTTTGATTCTGGTTTTATGTTGATGTCCAAGGACCTATTTTCTCCCTTGTTATTAGGGGGGGGGGTAGAATTTGTAGTATCTGAGATATCAATTACAGCAGTATTTAGGTTTCCTCAATTGTTTTGTTAGCTAATAATATTAAACAGAACAGCAGCAAGTGGTAGCTTTTTCTAAAGATGGGAGAGAAGAAAATATAAGCGGAATGAGGAAAATATTCCTTAGGATTGTGATACTGTTGGTTATATGACAATGGAGATGTTTGGGTGTAAGCTGGTATGGCATCCGGTATTCTGTGGCATCTCATATTGTGGATGGTACAGTTGGAAACAAATGCAGGGGAATTCGGAATAATGAAATAGCATGATGCTAGGGCCATGATGGCGAACCTATGGCACGTGTGCCAGAGGTGGCACACAGAGCTCTCTCTGCTGGCATGCACTGTCGCCCCAGGTCAGATCTCCATGGCGCTTCTTTCATGAGCTTCTGTTTCCCTGCAAGTGACAAAACAGAAGCTCACCAAAGAAAAAGATGTTACCTCTTGCTGTGCTGCTGGTGTTGGGATGCTGTGCCTCCCACCAAGCAGCTGGTCTTCGCGTCTCTGCTGTGCATGCTCACGCGCATGTGCGTGAACCTTTCAGTTTCGGCATGCATGCACATACAGTTTGGGCACTCAGTATCTAAAAGGTTTACCATCACTGTGCTAGGGGCTATTCCTGCTCTTGATCATTATATTTCTATAGCTAGAACTCACAAATGGAGAATGTATAAAAGTAATAGAAAGACTATGGAGCATTGCAGTAGTAGAAGTCATTTACATTTTCATTGCACATCCTAAATTATTGAATCCATTCAGAAATAGAAAGTTCAAAGCACCACACAGCCTCTCCCACTTCATGTGTAGGCATAACTTTATTTTTTTTTTGTTGTATTTTTATGACATCCAGTGAGTTTTTGCAGATGGCTTAGAATTAGAACCATCAGTGAAACATTAAGGTACAATTATAACCTATAAAAGGAGAAAATGGAATATTAAAGTTTTCAGGAGCAGATAATATAATTAACGAATCCTCTGAAATAGCACACTTTTTGACAATTAAAATGTAAAAACTTAAATGAATTTTGTGAAAGTTTTAGAAAATGGAATGAAAATATGGTGTGGAAAATAAAAAAAACTGTTAGAAGAACAGCAGACAGTTTAAGAGCCCCAGGATAGCTGCCTGTAGCTTACATATCATAGTTAGAAAACCCTTTTTCTTTTGCAGCCACCTACTAGTCTTTATAGTAGGGGGAGCAGGAGAACAGCCTCTAAATACAATTTTACATTAGATACTTCTGATATGAAAGAGATAGAACTCAATTTTAGGGAAGAAATTTAATGGAGAAACAGAAGTGCTTGAAGAGACATTTTTTGCAGTTGATACTGAACTATGAAAAACATCTTGTGGTCTTAAACTATTACAGTGCTACTGGTGGTGATCGCCTTCAGATGATGGGGGTGGGATTTATTTTTCTTCTGGACTTAACTTAGAATTCGGTGGAGCGGTGGCTCCATGGTTAAGATGCTAAGCTTGTTGACAGGAAAGTCGGCAGCCCCGGTTTGAGACCTGTCACGCAATGTGGTGCGGTCCTGTCCTTGTCCCGGTTCCTGCCAAATCTAGCAATTCAAAGGCCTGCAAATGTGAGTAGATAAATAGGTACCACTTGGGTGGGAAGGTAATAGTGCTTCATCCTGGCCACATGATTGTGGAAATGTCTTTGACAGCACTGGTACAATGGCCTTGAAATGGAGATGAGCACTGCTCCCTAGAGTTGACAATGACCAGTAAAGTAAAATCCGCAGGGATTCCTTTTTTTACCTTAAATGGAAATAACAGGAACATTGGAGGAAAGAGACTAAAAAGAGAAACTAAAGCTGACTTATCTGGGGTACGAAACCTGGTTAGTGCTTGTATAGGAGATCATTAGAAAATGATGGAGCTGTAAGATATTTTAGGAAGTTGAAAAATATCCTGGTAGAAGAGAATGGCAAACTACATACTATTGCCAAGAAACCTGCATGGGTGTATCCCTGAAGTCACACAAAATCAGACTCTTTTTGAGGGAAAGCATCTATTATACCTGCTATATTGAATAAGTACCTTGGACTTTATTTTATTTTAGTTATTAAACTAGAGCAGGATTCAGTGACCAGAGAAGCTAATTGGAAATGGAACTCAGGATTTTAAAAAGAAATACTAAAAACACAATTGCAAACAATTTCATTGGGAAAAATATGAATGACAATAGAAACTAACGTGAAAGCCTAAAAGCCACTCAGAGTCACATGATGAGACGTTTCATGATACAAATTGAATGACTGAATGAATGAATAAATAAGTTTCTTAGTGTATATGTTTGAAAAGAAAGAGACCGATACAGAAGAATTGTGCTGTGCTTTGGATTAAGAGGCAAAAAGATGCTTTGAAGTATGTGTGATCTTCAATTTGTCTGAGCCTCAGTCTCTTATCCTTGAGAATTGTTAGAGAATAGATGACATACTAGGTAACTGAAAAAAGCAAAATGCCCATTTCTTTAAAAGGGAGTAAAAAGATCTAGGGAATTACAGACTAGGAAGTCTGGCACAGATAGCTGGGAAGATTCCAGAGCTATCAATCTTGAATACTACGAAGTGGTTAGCAGAAGTTAGCACAGTTTTTTCAAGACTTGATCTTGCCAGACAATAATATCACATCATTATTTCTTTTGGGCAACTTCTTTAATAGATTGTGACAATGTTATGGATTTAATATTCCTTAATATCAGTGATTTTTTTTTTACAAAATACCTTATGATGATTTTGTTAGCAAGTAAGTTAAATGTTAGTCAGATGGTATGACAATAGAATGGATTCATAGCTAAAAATAACAAAATGAAGTTTAACACATATACTTAGAAATCAAATGCACAGATACAGGATGGGAAACATGCCATACATGTTGTTGCCCAGGGGTGGGTTCCTGCTGCCATTACTACCGGTTCGGTGCCCAAAACAATTTGCAGAAAATCAAGATGGCGTCGCCGAGGATATAACTGATACGGTCACATGTCTGCTAGAGTTACTACCTATTCAACTGTACCGTACTGTACCGGTGAAAACCCACCTCTGTTGCTGCCCTCGAAGAGCATCTGGAAGCTTCAGCTGGTACAAAATTCAGTGGTGCAGGCTGTTATATGCCCACCTATATCAGTTCATGTTATACCTCTGCTCTGTGAGTTACATTAAAGTTTAGAGAAGGGTAATGAAAAATGATTAAAGAACAAGAAACAAAATCCTGTGGGGAAAAAATTAAACCCGTTGGGCATGAGTCTTGAGTACACTTCTAATTCTGGAAAGGATGTCATAAAAAAGGTCAAGATTGTTCTCTATTATCTCAAAGTGGCTGATGAAAGAATAATAGTTTGAAATATGAGAAAGAAGATTCCAACGGAATGGAGAGAAGTAATCATAAAGGCCAATTTCTCAGAGAGTTGGTGAGTCTCCCATCAGTGACTATGTTCCCACTAGAAAGCTTCTGTTTGAATTGTGTTCTCCCTGCCCCCCCCCCCAGTTCTGTGGTCCTGGGATTGTATCAATTTAAGAATGCCTTTAAAGGAGAACACCATAACAATCAACACTGGAAGTCAATCTTGAATCTGAACCTTACAGAATACAGTAGAACCTCTGGTCACAAACGGTTCTGACCATGACCAAATCAGGTTCTGACCAAAAAATAAATGTTTGAATCTGGTCACGAACACATACTCGGGTGGTGATCAAACATGGCCACTGCTGATTTCACCTTCCACACCATTTTTTGTAAGCACCAAACAACAGCAACCTCGTGTGGCCGGTGCATTAATTTTGGTTAGATTCAGGTCACGACCAAATCAGGCTGCGGCCAAAATTATGGAATGAATTATAGTTGTGACCAGAAGTTCTACTGTAACCTGCAACTTTTAACTACTTTTTAAAATTGAAATGATTGCCTTTACTAAATACAATAGCTTATATGAAATGCAAAACACTATTCATGAATCACTCATATTACTTCTGAGTATTTGGCTTGCTTTCAGGTTTTGTGAAGACAGCTAATTCTTTTTGGACATTTAAATGATATACCCCATAAATGATACTTATAGTATTCTTTGCTTTCCATGTCAAATCTGGAAGACATACAAAGTAATCCTTGCCAGACCATATTTGTTAAGTCTTGGCAAATCCATTTTTTTACTAGAATAATTCAACAGAAGCCGGCATAGTTTTTATGAGCCTTCATGTCCTGGTCTATAATAGATTTCATATGGGAACTATTATCAGAGAGGCTAAGATTCAGAAGTGAAAAAGCTAAGTTTGTGTGGTGAGTGTGTGTTTATAGTCTTTTCTTCCCTGGAAGCAATTTTAGGGTGGTTTATTCCTTGATCCTACATTTATCAGGCTTTGACCAGAGAGAAGACATACAGAAAAGCAAAAATGAAGGGAGACTGACAGAACAGAATAATACAATGGGGACTGTGATGATGACAAATTACATCACCTAGTGAATTTGACAATGAGAAAGAAAATTGTTTCTTGGCCATTCCTAAAATAACTTCGCTATTAAAACCTGAAGAAATATATTTTTTGTAGATTAAGGAAAAGCAGAAACTGAGTTTCTTTGGGTTGAAAATTTTTTTCCTTGGAGACTAACAACCTATTCTTATGAGATTTATTCCATGTGCT